CTCCTTTTTTCAAAATAGTTCTCTTTTTCTCCGCTATGAAGGGTTAAAAAAGAACAAGGAAAAAGAATAATGATCTTCAATGTATTTTTCTCTAAAACAAAAAAAATGAATAGCATTTCGGATTCAAATTTTGAAGATGTTTCAAAATTTATGAATATATGTATGTTATTATCTGTATCTACATTAGACTCCAGCTTATAATTTTATGAAATTCCTTATCATGTAGAAGTGTCAATGTTTGAACTATATAATGATATGCTTCTGTGCCACCCATCTGGACAGTCGCTCTTATCATTGACGTACGGTTGAATTTCTTATTAACTTGTACGTTGAACCTTTTCCAATACAATAAGCGTATTCACTAGGAAGGTCTGATAATGGCATATGCTTTATAGTCCGTGAACACGCTGGATTTTTACTGAACGTTCACATGCGTTTTATGTGTTGTTTAACAACAGTGCGTATTTTACTACCCCGCCGAAACGTATTTTTTAAATAAGATCTGAACTTGTTTGGAAATAAAAACATTAACATTAACGATGGTAAACATTTGTAATGCATAACGCATCTGCATCAGCGCGCGACCAATGTGTGCCTTGAAAAAAATGTAATTTCCACAAACATTTAAGAAGAAATGAACTCTAAAACTATTCTCTCAAATATGCATTTAAAGTTCTTCTTCACAAATATACTAACTATCTCCGATAGATATGATGCATTTGCACCCCTGCACCCCGGGACAATCCGGCCCTAAGTCTTACATACGATAGATATTACAGAATGGAAGCAGGTGGAATTTACTTAAGCCCCATGAACTACTATTAGGCATACTCATGGACGAAGTCAGTTAGTGACGTCGAGCTTGTAAGTTTATTTTTAATTAAGTGCCTTCAGAATTATTCACTTGAACTTTGCTGATTAATGGGCCATTAGATGAAGACAACGTAATTAATTTGGACGCTGGTACAAACGAGAATCCATGTCGGTTAGTGGATTTGGGAACACATTCGATGCTCTACTGTCCGTTCGAATATCAGCATTTGAAGACGGTTAAATTTATTCTTTTTTAAGTTGACACTAATTAACTGGGATTACGTTATTCGACAATTGCGAAAGTTTATAAATCATTTGAATGTGTACAACTGGATTTATTTATAAAATTGTAGAATCAGTATTTTTAATCATTACTAAAGGGTCATTTAACTGCATATTACATACCTCTTCATTCTTATTTAATCGTTGAATGATTCCTAAAATAATCTAAATTTTATTTGTAGAAAGAACCAGTCCCTTTTAATTTAATATTTTTTGTGAATCAAATAAATTATATAATTATGTCAACAGATTCGTATCTAGATAGCATGTAGGGGATAGAAACTAATCCCTAGGGAGCTCTGTATAGCCATTCACTAGCTCTTTGTTGATTTACTGCGTGGGAGGGGATTTTTTATCGTCCGAAATAATGAAAGATAGTTCAGAGGGTTGAGAATGAAATCAGGGGTACACGTATAAAACATACACCACATCTTATAAAATAATGCGTAACAGATGACTGAAATAAAAAATTAACTTTCAAGAGAAATGAATAATAAAATCAAATTTTTACATCTTGTTTTGTGGGGTATTGTCCACAAAAAATGTTCATACAAGTGAGACATAGCCTCTATATTTTTAAGAAAAAAGGTCTTTAATAAAGATTTTACTTTATATGTTTGTCACGGTTTGGCTGCATTCCCAATTTTGTGTTTCAAAACATGTAGGTAGCTCCTATAGTGACATTCAACTTAAATTTTTCAAGTGAAACATTGTGCCTTTTTGTATGCTTTCGAATTCAAATAATTTTTTACATAGGACTACGTGAAAATTTAGTTGGGATTCATAATTAAAATTTCTAAAATATTGTGACAATTCAAAGACTCAAGTGTATTTCTTCAACTGCGAAATATTTTAGTAACGACAACCAGTTAAGAAAAGATAATTTTTCTAGAATTTAGATTATGAAATTCAACAAAATCTTCACGCATTCCTATGCACAAAACACATGGAGTGAATTGAAAACTAAATAAAAATGTTCTACGTTCTATTTGTAAAGTCAATTATAGCATAGGAGCGACAGTTTTTGAATTAGAAAATTAGCAATACTGTCAAAATATGACAAATATACTACACCCTAAATCTTTTTATACAAAACACTCTTTCTAAGGCCTTTTAAAGACTTTTGCAGCCAGTAGGTGAACTGACACTGTCCTGATTCGAGTCCAAAAGCCGTCGTCCATTGGAGTTACATCCTAACATTTCGCTAAAACATCCAGCATCAGACGGCCTTTAGACCAGAATCAGGATAGCATCAGTTCACCCTATAATAATAGTTCGGGTTAAGGAAATTCTTCGTTTTATTATTGGCAGTAATTGTGTATCCCTGAGCGATATGTTTTTGAACTTCCATCTTTTATTATCCATCCATAATTTAGTATATGTAATTTATTTAAAGACCCGTTAGTGATGTAGGTTAGTAATTGTTTAACATTTAGCATGCGTTAAGTATATAAGTACGTGAATCAGTGGAAATAGACACATTAAGAACCTTATATGGAATAAGCAACTAACTCAACTAATGCAGCAGGCATAATAACAGTATGATGGCCGCACCTTCGAAAACGTAATCCTGATTCCCGTTAAATGCAGAAAACAATTGAATAACAGCTCATACAACAATACAAATACAACCATACAACAGTATAAATACGATCACTCAATACAATACAAAATTTCTTACCGATTTCAAATCATAATTTATAAGTATCTCTAACGTAAGTAAAAATACAAACGTGACGAATTTGGTAAGTGATCTCCAAAAGTGTCTTATCACTTCGATCTTATTATTTTCTAACAATTTTACAAACAAATTTGTGCTGGTCCACGGGTTGGTATTTTCTAAATTACCATGTAATTGTCCTGGTACTGACCCGAGATCTCTCTTTGCTGTTAAGTTCTTTGACCGAAGAAGTGTGAAAATTACATCTGGTCTGTTAATAGAGAAGTTATGCAAGTCTGTACAGGTACAATTTGCTAGCGTTATTTTTAAAACTACTGCCAGTTCCTTGTTTTCAAAATGTATAAGGAATTATTCTACAATACCTCATATTTTTCAGATTAGTTCAATTTTTTTAATTACAAATTTCTTACTATGTATAGGTGGATAAGGTAAGAATATTTATGAACTGCTCTGTTACATTCTGTACAGTTTTTGTAAAGGAAAAGCACTACATTAGGAATTAACCTGACTGATCGATAAAATTTTATTGCTTTTGTAATACTTTTGGCAATAGAAAATATGAAATAACGTTAGGTTTCTTATATACTTGGTGCTTAAAATAAATTAATTAATTTGGCTCATGTCGTTAAAATTGGAGACCTTGTCTGTTAATTAACTTCCTAAAAATAATTCACCAATTTACTAAATTCGTAACACTCGAAAAAGAAATCGCTTTATTCTCAATTAAGCAAAGAAACAATTGCTTTGTCTGAAATCTCCCAGAATATGACCAAGGATTTGAATTTACGATTACACTACTACACTGCCACTATAAAACTCACAAAAATCCTTAAGGCCAACCAAAATAAAAAAGGAAATTGAATCAATTAATTTACAAAAGAAACGTTGTCAAGTAGACAGTCCGTCAATGTCAGCAGTAATCACGTCTTAAACAATGATTTGTAAACGATTTTATTTATTGTATACATAAAGTTGTTACTTTTAATTGACAGAATTGGAACGAACAATGTTATCTTGTTTCCTCTCAGGAGCGCAAAAAAATATATATAATGTCCGCAGATATGATGCAGATACATAAAACAAGTCGACAATTGGCAAACGGACATAATAAAGCTGGGTCATAATATTTTTTTTTTCATTACATAAAAGATTTTTTCTTTAAAGTTAAATTGCCAATGACTTTGCAAATATAAAACATTATTTATGAGCAAGTCAGCTTCTAACTAAATTACAGAACTTCTTTTACAGTCCTTAAACCGTTAGATGTAATCGTTTAATAATGACCAACACACCTTAACAATATAAATCTATAAATTATTTATGATTATTACAAGACGTACAATTTTATTTAATAGATGATGATAAAATAATTTTTATACGACTCCCTTTAGAAAATTGTTTATACTAGACCTTTTTATCATCATTTTCTCTTAATTTTTTCGCTTGATACGTCCATCCTCATTAGAGCCTGATGAAAATGCAATCTCTCAATAATTTCGCAGTATGTAGACGATTCTAACTTCATTAAATGCCTAAAAAAATTGTTTCTATGGGTGCATTTCATAAGTACGAAGGTACTAGACAGTGATGCAAAGGAGAAGTGTCATAATGGAAACAGAAGCGGATGCGGAGGCAGAGGTGTAATAATTTTAAGTGACTCTTTGCATCGTTAATATCAACAAAGTAATACAAACTGGAACTTCAAAATTGCACTTTTAACTAAAAATTTACACCACTGAACACACACTATAACTATGTTAGTATTTTGGAAATAGAATTATTAGGAAAATTGCTAAGGGGGAGCTAAAACTCCTCAAAGTTTTTAGATTAAAGTAGGAAACCAATAAGAGAATAAAATTTGAAAAATATCGACATACAAAAGAGTAGGAAATAGATTTAAGCCTTACACTATAATAAATACTTCTAATNATATTCAAAACTTAAAAGACACAAGAAATTTGATCCAGTTTGTTTCTATAATGTATGCATATATGCAGCACAGGATTCGGTTACTTCTTCTAAAATTACCTGCACTCAACATTCAAATCTGCCAAGTCAGGTAGAATATACTAGCTACTACATTAATATTATATGAGTATTAGGTATATGTATTAGATAGGCATTAGCAAATATATTAATTTGAAATCAACAAGGAAAAAATTCAGTTAGAATTAGCAGGAAGCATTGGGCACGATAGCAAATTGTTTCAAAAAAAATGTTTCACTCACCTAAAAGTCCACCAGATGTTGAAGCACATGGTGTTAAGCCAGAAAAATGCCGAAAGGAACAGGAAGTGCATGGCTACGGCTGTAATAAAGAAAGAAATTTTAAATCAGTAGTAACCAGGTGCTGCACTGAGCGAAGAAAATGCTTAGCGTGAAGCAATTTCTGACAAATAATTATAATCGAAAGCCGCCATTGCCACGGTACCTATACAATATGTAGTTAGTACACGAACATAATTTCTACCATGGTAGAGGTAGGTTAGGTTAGGTTAGGTTAAATATGTAGTTAGTACACGAACATAATTTCTACCATGGTAGAGGTAGTTAAGGATGTCATGAACTTTGGGCGGTGACAAAACTTCGCTCATTCGTTGATTTCTACATTGTAACATTGGCTATCACTGTTTATAGTTTAACCAGGGTTATGGAGCTTTATGCCGATATATTTGCGTATTATAATGCTATAAGGTGAAGCATGGAAAATCCCATGAGATTTTAAACTAGCTGTATCATTAAACTCAACTGTATACACTGTAAAATTCATTCAATTTTAGAATTTATTTAGTCATTATAAGATAGGTACATTAATAAGAGCAACTCAATCATTAACAATTTTTTAACGTAAATACACGTATAAAACTACTGATAATGATAATGATGTTAAGTTGCCAATGTTGTCGTGATTGCAACAAGAAGAATTACAATCTATTAGAAGTAAATTATTACCAACAAGAAAAACCCTGCAAATTAGTAAGGTGCCTTGCTAAAATAAATGACCTCAAAAGCTGCTGTAAATTTTAGAAACGTGTAAATATATGTACAAGGTATCCGTGTGTTCTATTTAATCTGACGCTATTAAAATTAAGAACATTAAATTCATGGTTGACGGACAGTTTCTGTAAACTATTATTAACGTTGTTGAAAATGAAATAGTAAAATATTTAAGTCAATGTTTAATAAAAAGTCAAAATCAATGGATACCTGTAATCACTACAAAACTCCAAAATGACTAACCAGCTTATTACTTATTACATAATTAATTCTCCTTTACCGCCGCTTATGCACTTGCTAATTCGTCTACCGAAATTTTTAATTTCTAAAATTATCAAAAATCATTAAATTGTAGGTAAACCAGATGATTTTTTGTCACAACTATTCCTCAACTTCAATCAATCGCTAATCAATCGAAACAACTACAGATATGATTTGTATTGGCACAAATACCACGTCGTGATTGATACGTAAGGTCAATTTAAAATCTGTCAAAACACATTCGATTGTTAATAATTGATCCAATGTTATCTATAATTAAAACTATTACGTTATTAACCGTTAATTGATAGTATCAAATAATTAAAAGCTAGAATATATTTTGAAAAACGTAATTCATTGCTACAGCAATTAAAACAGAAAATAAGCCGAACATTCCGTTCGGATTTCATTAATTCAGTAAATCACGCAGTGCAAATTAATAAGATGCCTTAAGCATTTATGTATGTAAAGGTACCTTTCTATAACGATTGGATACAATCGCTTCCGTCACATTATGCAAATCACGGTTTGCCGTCTATGTGTATGTTCTAACTAATTGGAACTTGTTCGAAACGTTGCTGCCTGTTTGACCGACAACGATTCTTTCTTTCATTCTCGGATGGACGGAAAATAATAAATTTCGTTATTAAGAACGTGAGAATGAATCAGATATTAACGCAAAACTAATGTAACTTCCTTAAAAATAAGGTCGTCAGTCCTAAGGCTGGTTGGACACGCACTCTTTCCTATCCTGAGCTAATCTTCGCATTTCCTTATAACTAGAACATCCCGCATCATTATCTATTTGTGAACAGTAATCTAATCTAGGCCTACCTCTACTCCTCTTAACTCCTGTTTCTGCTTCTCAAAAATATAAAACAGAAACAAGCAAAACGTATCATAATATCAAATTCCTAGTTTTACAGTTGATTTATGTAAAATATAATGTGAAATTTTTACAAAATTACGACTACAAATCGAAAAATATAAAGTTGCGATTAAAATGGGATGCCCTTTAAGGAACAAAGTAGGATTAATGACGTTTTTAAATCAAGTGTACCAAAACCTGAAATTTTACCGTTTTCCACAGTTTTCCTGTGAGCGATTACTCTAGAATTTTAATGTACTCAAGTAGATAAGTATTTTGAATTTTTATTAATGCGCGAAATAAATCGCAAAGGAAAAACTTGTTGCATATCCTTAAACGGTTGGTTCGTAATCCACTTCCGTACTAAATTTACATATTAGGTATACTTGCAGAAGTTAGTGCGTTCGATAAAAGTTTCTTGTATTTAATTCAACGTGAAAGGTAGGCATACAAGCCAATGTGACCAGTGACCACCCTTCGTTTACCTCCGCTACAGTCTCATTAAATTAACAACCGATTGCAGCATGTCCAGTCTGATTGAGGTTTTATGAAACGGAGTGAAATTCTCAGTTNCTGGTGCAGGTGCCTGCCCAACATACAGCTTTGCAACGAGCAATTCCAGCTATGTTTTGAATTATTAGGAAAATTGCTAAGGGGGAGCTAAAACTCCTCAAAGTTTTTAGATTAAAGTAGGAAACCAATAAGAGAATAAAATTTGAAAAATATCGACATACAAAAGAGTAGGAAATAGATTTAAGCCTTACACTATAATAAATACTTCTAATACTAAACGCTAATACTTCATAAACATAAACGGTTGATAATAATACGTTCACAATGTTACAGAGGGGTAGCTGAAAGCTGGTGCAGGTGCCTGCCCAACATACAGCTTTGCAACGAGCAATTCCAGCTATGTTTTGAATTATTAGGAAAATTGCTAAGGGGGAGCTAAAACTCCTCAAAGTTTTTAGATTAAAGTAGGAAACCAATAAGAGAATAAAATTTGAAAAATATCGACATACAAAAGAGTAGGAAATAGATTTAAGCCTTACACTATAATAAATACTTCTAATACTAAACGCTAATACTTCATAAACATAAACGGTTGATAATAATACGTTCACAATGTTACAGAGGGGTAGCTGAAAGCTGGTGCAGGTGCCTGCCCAACATACAGCTTTGCAACGAGCAATTCCAGCTATGTTTTGAATTATTAGGAAAATTGCTAAGGGGGAGCTAAAACTCCTCAAAGTTTTTAGATTAAAGTAGGAAACCAATAAGAGAATAAAATTTGAAAAATATCGACATACAAAAGAGTAGGAAATAGATTTAAGCCTTACACTATAATAAATACTTCTAATACTAAACGCTAATACTTCATAAACATAAACGGTTGATAATAATACGTTCACAATGTTACAGAGGGGTAGCTGAAAGCTGGTGCAGGTGCCTGCCCAACATACAGCTTTGCAACGAGCAATTCCAGCTATGTTTTGAATTATTAGGAAAATTGCTAAGGGGGAGCTAAAACTCCTCAAAGTTTTTAGATTAAAGTAGGAAACCAATAAGAGAATAAAATTTGAAAAATATCGACATACAAAAGAGTAGGAAATAGATTTAAGCCTTACACTATAATAAATACTTCTAATACTAAACGCTAATACTTCATAAACATAAACGGTTGATAATAATACGTTCACAATGTTACAGAGGGGTAGCTGAAAGCTGGTGCAGGTGCCTGCCCAACATACAGCTTTGCAACGAGCAATTCCAGCTATGTTTTGAATTATTAGGAAAATTGCTAAGGGGGAGCTAAAACTCCTCAAAGTTTTTAGATTAAAGTAGGAAACCAATAAGAGAATAAAATTTGAAAAATATCGACATACAAAAGAGTAGGAAATAGATTTAAGCCTTACACTATAATAAATACTTCTAATACTAAACGCTAATACTTCATAAACATAAACGGTTGATAATAATACGTTCACAATGTTACAGAGGGGTAGCTGAAAGCTGGTGCAGGTGCCTGCCCAACATACAGCTTTGCAACGAGCAATTCCAGCTATGTTTTGAATTATTAGGAAAATTGCTAAGGGGGAGCTAAAACTCCTCAAAGTTTTTAGATTAAAGTAGGAAACCAATAAGAGAATAAAATTTGAAAAATATCGACATACAAAAGAGTAGGAAATAGATTTAAGCCTTACACTATAATAAATACTTCTAATACTAAACGCTAATACTTCATAAACATAAACGGTTGATAATAATACGTTCACAATGTTACAGAGGGGTAGCTGAAAGCTGGTGCAGGTGCCTGCCCAACATACAGCTTTGCAACGAGCAATTCCAGCTATGTTTTGAATTATTAGGAAAATTGCTAAGGGGGAGCTAAAACTCCTCAAAGTTTTTAGATTAAAGTAGGAAACCAATAAGAGAATAAAATTTGAAAAATATCGACATACAAAAGAGTAGGAAATAGATTTAAGCCTTACACTATAATAAATACTTCTAATACTAAACGCTAATACTTCATAAACATAAACGGTTGATAATAATACGTTCACAATGTTACAGAGGGGTAGCTGAAAGCTGGTGCAGGTGCCTGCCCAACATACAGCTTTGCAACGAGCAATTCCAGCTATGTTTTGAATTATTAGGAAAATTGCTAAGGGGGAGCTAAAACTCCTCAAAGTTTTTAGATTAAAGTAGGAAACCAATAAGAGAATAAAATTTGAAAAATATCGACATACAAAAGAGTAGGAAATAGATTTAAGCCTTACACTATAATAAATACTTCTAATACTAAACGCTAATACTTCATAAACATAAACGGTTGATAATAATACGTTCACAATGTTACAGAGGGGTAGCTGAAAGCTGGTGCAGGTGCCTGCCCAACATACAGCTTTGCAACGAGCAATTCCAGCTATGTTTTGAATTATTAGGAAAATTGCTAAGGGGGAGCTAAAACTCCTCAAAGTTTTTAGATTAAAGTAGGAAACCAATAAGAGAATAAAATTTGAAAAATATCGACATACAAAAGAGTAGGAAATAGATTTAAGCCTTACACTATAATAAATACTTCTAATACTAAACGCTAATACTTCATAAACATAAACGGTTGATAATAATACGTTCACAATGTTACAGAGGGGTAGCTGAAAGCTGGTGCAGGTGCCTGC